CCTCTATCAGTGGATTACCGTGACATCAAAGGGAAACTTTCTGTGGTGAGCTGCGTTTGATATAACGCTGCATACAATACAAAATGGAAAATATGTTGAACAGTAAAAGCAAAGATTCTTCTTATTCGTGATTGTGAACAGTTTTTACATTGTTACATTGTTTCTGACTGAAAAGAAATAGCTGCTGTAATCCTGACACTTTGCACACAGGCGGGTTTGCTGGTGTTATATTACAAGCAAGTGTCCCAGGTCTGGGAGGGTCAGTGAATAACTCTGTAATCAGAACTTAAAAGTTGCATGATGCCTACATTATAAATTGATATTCTGTATAAATATATATTTAATAGAAGAAGAGGCATTTTCAAATATATCATCTTTATAGGAAATAACACCATTTTGGACACATTAAGCAAAATGTGCTCATTCAAATACCTGATTAGAATAAAATCAGGTGCTTAATAAATATCCTGACAGATATTTGAATGATGCCAGTGCTCTATTAAGAGCACTGGCATCCAGACCTGAGATGGTAATGAACAGACATCCTTCTACAGAACCCAGTGGTTTGACCATATGAGCAAAAACGACTTCAGCAGCAGTCCATGAATTGGGTGGGACCTTTACTGCACATCCAGGGGTGTGTCAAGAAAGAAGGCATGGAGCACCAAAATATCTATTTCAATTTGTAATTATAGTAATCTACAATTGCTTTGTGACTGCACCACCTGGTGGTGCAATGATTAGCGCTGTCGCCTCACAGCAAAATGCTCCTGGGTTCAAATTCCCCAGCTGTGTGTGGAGTTTGCACGCTCTCTCCGTGCCTGTGTGGGTTCTCTCTGTGAACTCTTCAGCTATACTGGCAATACTAAATTGGCTGTAGCTGTGATTGTCTGTCTTTCTGCGGTAGCCCTCTTGCACAGAATCAATTTTCACACTATTTTTGTAAGAGCACTGGCATGCACAAAGCTGTTTTATACACCAGTTTTCTAAACTGCATTCATTCCTGATCAAACAGTCTGGCACCAGGTACAAATGTGTGTTATTTGTAAAACATTCCACTTTGATTTCTGCAAAATGCACATACAAAACATTTTTTTCTATTTAGGAAATTTTCATTGGCTAGCATAAATGAGAAGATGCTGAATTCTATACGGGGATGTTTTTTATTTGATAGTCAAAATAAGGAAGTGTTAGTGACAAAATACACATATATAGTCACAGACAAAACCACACTTTTTAAAAGGTTGGTGCAATGAAAAATGGTTTGCTCCTTTTTTAATTTTTCTCAGTTTTTTGCATTTTTGTGAAACCTGAAGGTTTCAGATCATCAAACAAATTTCAGTATCAGTGTTAGACTATTCTGTACCTTGCTAAATCATAAATTACCTGTGATTTACCCACTCTTTTGGAAAGGAAGGCATGCCTTCAGTTTTACTAGCCATAACCAGGCCTGATTATTACCAGATACAACCAGTCTGGGCTAAAAGATCTCCAAAAGCAATGCATCATGCCACGATCCAATGAAACTCAAGAACAGACGAGAAACAAAGTCACTGACATCTTTCAGTTTGGGAAGCTTTACAAAGCCATTTCTAAGGCTTTGGGACTCCAGTGAACCACGGTGAGAACCGTTACCCACAAATAGAGAAAACTTTGAACAGTGGTGAACCAAAATTACTCCAACACACCACAAAAGAACCCAGAACAGCATTAAAAAAAACAAAAAACAACAACAAAAACTGCAGGCCCCACTTTCCTCAGTTAAGGTTCATGATTCAACAATAAGAAAGAGACCAAAAATGGCATCCATGTGAGAGTTCAAGGAGAAAACCAATTGAGACCCAAAACAACACAAAGGCTTATCTCACAGTTGCTGAAAAACATCCTGAAGATCTCCATGACTTTTGGGAGAAAATATTCTGTGGACTGACGAGACAAAAGCTGACCATCATTTAAAAACAGCAATTTGTATTTACTCAGATTGTATTTGTAATATTAAAATTACTTTGATGATCTGACGCATGTAAATGTGACAAATTTTTTTAAAAAGCTCGAGAACTTATGAATAAATGAGATGGATAATACTCTTTGCATTGATATAAAATGTGTAGATTACTGCATTCTGTACCTCAGATTGAGTGTTTTTCTTTTTGTACTCTTGCTACATTGTGGGCACCTTGCTCTTTACACAGTTACATTTTAGGCAACCAGCATCATTTTCAATACAATAAACCTCTTTTCATTTGATTCTGAAACCATGCTTTATGCTTTATGAAGGTTTAAGGTAAGGGTAAAAAAATGGCCACACCACTGTTAAGTAGGAATTTCATTGGCCAGGGAAAGGCCGCGAAGGACGGTGTTGCTTTCAAATGCTCTTCCATTGTAATTCCAGTAGATGGAGATGTGCGTCTACAAAACCCTCAGAAGCGTCACGACAGTGACTCAGTGCATGTGTGAATCTCGAGCTGCTTTCCAGGCCACCTTTCTGCTGTAGCGTTAACGCGCCATCATACAGTATATCAGAACGTGAGCACATTCTAGCCAAAGCTGTTTAAACGTTCCCCGTATATGTGTGCTACAACCTTCACAGCTCTGTCTTATGTAACACAGAGGGCCTCCTCTGTGAGGCCCTGATACCGTCCTGTTAATGGCAGCACACATGACACAGATAATTAATCACGGTTTTTTTTGTTGTTGTTGTTGTTGTTTTAAGAGATGAATGTATAGACTATATCATAGACTATGTCAGTTCTGTTTCATTTCCAGGTGTACGCACACACGTTACAAAGCTAAAATAAGCAAAAAAATAAACGCTATGTGGACAATCCGAGTGCTTTTTTTATGACAGCCACAAACTTTTCCTAATTCCGTTCTCATTACCCATCCAAAACAAGCCACGCAACTTCTGAGGGATCCTCAGATGGCCACCGAAAGGTGGGAGGAATATTCATGGTTCTCGAGAAGATAACAGAAGATCGGAGAGAGGGAGAGAATGAGTGAGAGCGAGAGAGAGAAAGCCAGGGCTGCGAGTGTCTGTGGGAGGGGAAGGGGGCTCGTGGAGAGGAAAATCAAACCCACCCAGGGCTCTTCGTACGTCACCGTTCACATCACAGATGTTCCCACAGACACTCAGTGTGGGTTGTGGGCCGAGGCGTGTGGAGAGCCAGTATGGCTTGAAATTGGATTTATTTATTTTTTTGTCTTTCTTCTTTTTTTGGACTGTGTGTGCCTGCATTGTAATATGTAGGCCTGCCTACTGCGTAAATGGAGACTTAAGCGCTGGAGTGATATTTAAAAGTACTCATTCTGAGAGTTGGAGCTGTATATAAGTCATGAAAATAGCGGTGTGATGTTGCATGGTCTGTTTCCCTGCTCACAATTTATATATAACTGTACATATGTAACTGTACACAAAACTGCTGAAATATAGGAAACGTGTACTGATCTCAGTGTACATCCCCTTGAATATAGGTTTCTTGATAATAATAATTACAACAACAAAAAGTCACAGAAAAAGGAGAACTTGTGTGGGCGAGCCCGGTTCTGTTTCCACGTCCAAACGGCAAAAAACAAGTGGAGTTGTTATTGATGGAAATTAAGTATTCAAATACGTGTCAAGTTAAAAGAGAATACGGGCTACCTCTCCAAAACAGCTTGAGGTGAGAGTGCGCGCACAAAACCGCAACCTTACCTCCTAGACTCTTTTGAAGTGGCTTTCGTGAGTACTGAGAGAGAGAAATCGCGTTTTTACGCCCAACTGTCTTGATTATTTGTACGTCACCGAGTGTGTTCACAGGACAGAAATCCCCCTTCGGTTTTCCTGAGACCACTTCGTACACAGCTGCTCTCTCGGCCAGTAGTCACATGGTCAGGAAAGTTTTTCAAGACCTGGTTTCCGTGGAAGCTGAAGATAGTTCGCTACGCACCATTCAACCCACCACCTTATAGCACACACACACACACGCACACACACACACACACACATACACATATATATATTTTTTATTTTTATTTATTTATTTATTTTAAACCTGTGGTATTTGAAAAGCTTAAAATGTTTAATGATTCATTCACATCCTCTTAACACGGGACTTTTCCCACCTCTCCCTCTCTCTCCATCTTCTGAGATCCTGCTGCCGCGCATATTTGGCCGCTGATGCGTCCCACCAGAATGTTGTCCTTGGCAGCGCGCACAGCCCCATCCATCCACACAGATGCTCCTGCGCGCTTCGGACGCCCACTCTCGCCTACTGCTCTGCCAACCGGCGTGGCATCTTGAGACGCCCCCGGCATTCCTGAAGGTACTAAGTCACTGTCACTTTCCGTCGTGTGCGATCTTTCGATTACACTGACACCTAAAAAATGCTGCAACAACTTTGAGGCTCGAGCGCCACCGATAGTTGGCTAGCGTACGAGTTTAAGAATCTTCATTTATTATATTAAAAAATAACAATATTAAAAAGCACCACGATCACAGCCGTTTTATTACTGCTTCCTGTTATCACGCCAAGCTCTTGTTTAGCTTGTCTGGCTGATAAGAGATAAGAGGATCGCACTTTGCTCTCTTCCCGTTTAAACACTTTATTTTACAATTGCACAATTACCAAAAGGAAATTCCGCCACCCTCACGAAGTTCGCAAATCTTATCGATACGGTATATAGAGGGAGTGAGAAGGAACCTGTTTGCGTTACCTGGGCGGGGGTTCCCAGAAATCCTCCCCTGTGACGAAGTAGTCACCAGTATGCCCATATATGGACAGCCCCTGCGTAATTAGGAAAGGCCTACATACGCAAGCTACGCTCTGTGCGTAAAAACACCGCAACCAGAATGTGCTTGTGTAAGAGTTCCTCACTGGGAGCTATAGTAACTGTTATGGTTACAGTATGGTAGGAAAGAAAACCTCGTTTGCTCTTCCCACTCTTTCCCGCTGCTGCTGTTGTTGTTATTCTAAATTATGTGTAGATGTGTGAAAACAAAAACGCTCAACTCCACCATTTCATTTTTCATTTTTGAGACACTTTACTTAAATATACAACACAAATTATTTTTTTTAAAAAGAGACACTGTAAACATTGGACATCATCAGTTTGTCTGGATCAACCGGACACATGAAATAATTTACACAATGAATAAATGCAGCCAACAAACAAAAAACTAAACAAAATGAAAAAGGAAGATGGTACAAAGTAAAACAAATAATCGTTCCCATTTTCTACCATTAGTAAACCCGACTTATGGGCATGTGCGCCCACTGTGTTGCTCAGTGTCTGCTCAGTCTGGATGCTGCCCTGGATTCTAGGGTTGAATGGTCCTGTGAGGGGTGTCCAGCATCCGGAAGTACCATTACAATCAGTCTTTTCACCCTAAAACAGCCTTCAGTATCGTCCACACCTAGCCCTCGGCCCTGTGATGCTGACTACACACGAGCCGGTAATTCCAGTGCTGCGCATGCAGAACATGACTCCAGTGTTATCACTTTTCAGTCATTTTTTTCTTTTTAGTAGTCTCTGGTGTTTTTAGAACGCCTCCAGCTTGCTCGTGAGCATCAGCTGGCAGCCGCTGCTCACGTGTGTCAGGACCTTCTGTTTGAGCTGAGCCACCTGATCCCGGAGCACCGACGCCGTGTTGGAGAGCCCCGCGTTGTCGTTCTTCAAAACTTTCACCTTCTCCTCCAGCCGGGCGATGCGCTCGAGCTTGCGCCTCCGGCATTTAGTAGCGGCTAGTCGGTTCCTCAGCCTCTTGCGCTCCGCCTTGATCCTCTCCTGGGTCTCCAGGTCAATCGGGGACATCGGAGGCGAGCCGTCGCTGCTGAGGAGGTCGGGCACGGTCTGAGGCTCCTCTTTCAGAGCGACCAGCCGCTGCGGATGGAGTCCGGGGACGGGGAGGCTATGCTGGAAAGCATGCGCGCCGTGCGTCGAGCTCTGCTGGTGGTGGCTCTGCTGGTGCGGCGGCAGGTAGCTGATGGTGGCTGTGGGGTAGCTGGATGATGAAGACAGGTTTGTGTTCGGGCAGTAGGCGTTCAGTGTTGTGTAGATGGGGGGCTCGGGCTGCAAGGCGGAACCGAAGACGCTAGAGGCCGCCGGCGAACACGTCGTAACTCCACCGGCTCCGATGGACACGTTAGGGGGGGGCATCTGGTTCATCTTGTGGAGCTCGTCCAGTGCTTTCACAAAACCCTCAGCGAAGCCCTCCTGCTCATCGGTGATGCCCCGGTTGTAGAAGTACTGGCCCGGGGTGGGAGTGGTGATCACACCGTTACTGTTTTGGATGATGAGCTTCTCGAGCTCTGGGGATGCGAGCTTCAGGGACCCCACGTCTTGCTGGCCCCCGTGGTACAGGTCTGTCTCGGCTCTCAGCTGGGATTTCAGGTTGCGATAGGGCTCTGTCAAGTTCAAATTCATATTCTGCTTTAGCAGTTTGCAGTCGTGCATTGGCGCGTCTGAGTGGCCGTAAGCCGACAGAAAAGAGTCGTCATGATAAAAAGGCTGTTCCATCTTTGTAGACATAAAGTCGTAGGAAAAAAGTGAGCTTACCGGCCGCTTACAGAAACACAGTCTCTGGGTAATCAACAAAAGTCAGTGTCAGCAGAGAGCATGCATCAAATCGGGCACTTGTAGTCTCTCTTAAACAGTGTTTCCAAATTTCAAAAAAAAATGAAAATCACTCGAGGATGGAGAGCAAAGGAAACAAACTAGTGAAAGTCCAGCAAGAGTTCAGTATCAGCGGATTTCAAAAGTCTTTCCCGGAGCCTGTTTGCTGTGGTTTTTTCCTTCAAAATCCTGTGTAACAAAACTTCGTTCTCGCAATTCCTATTTGCCGCTGTGTTTGTCTTGGTGCTTGTTGAGGTGTGTTCAGGCGGGTTCATGTGCGCCGTTTTATATACGGTGCTTCGTTGTCATTGGACAGAGTCTGTGTCTCCGCGCCCATCGAGTGCGTCGTCAAGTGACGCTAATGCCGGGAAGAGGCGACTGTAAACAAGCCTGTAGGCAAGAGAGCGCTCCGAGGAGGGCTCGCAGCGGAGACCAATGTCAGAAATAGAAAAGTCCGATGCATTTATGCACGACTTTGCGCGTTTATGGGCTGAATCAGTGGTTGTTGGGTAAGCGAAGAGGTGAGATTATTCCGTTAGAGCAAGTCGCTGCTTTTATAATTCATTTGTAGGTTCTTTAACGTGTCTTAAAACTGCGTTAAATGCGCCAGTTTGGGTTCATTTTATGTCATTATAGCTTCATGGGATGCCCATTAGTTCACGCGCAATCTGTTGTTGGATCCATTGGGTATGAAATATACAACAAACATCAGCTGTTTACTGCAATCGGTCCCATGGAGGAAGTCGAGACTCCTTATATGGGCACACTGACGTATAAGTTCCTCTTCTGGACAACCGGGAAGCCAGGCCCACTCCAGGCCTCATTCCAGCAGCATTCCTGCTCCTGTCTAAATCCATGTGGCTAGGCAAGTTAGGGACTTTCTGCCTCAGACGATAAGTTCAGTTCTTCTAGAAAAATAACATTAATTATTTAATATGAACCATCTTTAAAAAATTAAAATACACATCCTAACTTGTGTTAATATTCATATATTTTTGGGGGGTGCTCACAGGTATTGACATGATATATTCAAATGATTTGACTGCTCCACTTCTAAGTGACGCCTGAAAGCACACAGCAGTGAAACACATCAGCAGAGCAGAAAACTGTGATCAGCCACAGAGCAAACACTTCCTCCTGTAGTAATCTGATAGGATGCTGATGTTGGCCATGTCGCCTGAAGTAAACAGCTTTGATCATGAAATAGAGGAAACTGAGGAAATTCTGTCCAACACTGCCAAAGAGGGGGGATTACACCGGGCAAGATTCACAAATAGTGTTTTACCCTTTTGATGTCAGAAGGCCATTTAAAAAAAACAGCCTTTTTTTCTTTCTTTTGTTTAGATTTAGAAGTAGAGTTGCTGTGATTTGCTCGGTAGGATCGTGGCGTTGAGAGAAAAGAAATATGATTCCTCAATAGAGCACCTGTCTCAGTAGCGGAGAAGGAAACCTTTGTCTCCTGTTTGTACTTCTTCCAACGCCCACACAATCAAGCACCACTGCCTTCACTACTGTATCCCACATCCCTCTACACACAAATCAAGTCAGGTAGGATGCTTTGCAAAATCCTCTGGCTGCTCCTGAGGGATGAATCTCTGATCTTGTGTACTGAAGACAAGGCCGTGGCAGAATGTATATTACGATAACAGAAGCATATAACAAAAACTGGCTCTCGAATCTTCATCAACATGTGCAGATGATCAGTGTGACAAACCGCCTATAACCCTATCAAATATTCATACCACCCACCATGCTCCAGATGTGTTCCCATTAAAAGGATTATAAAATAGATATTACTTAACAATTAATAAAGGCAGGTATTGTTACAGGGATTTTTATGCCTTTGCAGGGACAGCAACCATGACTGGAGGCGTTATGCTTGCTAAATCTGTAGGCCTGTTCCACCCATTCTCGCGAACTTGTCTCCTGAAGTGCTTCGAGGACGTATTTTCAAACTTGGCACAAACATCCGTTTGGACTCAAGGTTCACCTGATTTGAATTTGGCGATCTCGCAAAAACACATTCTTGGCCAAAACTCAAGAATTCTAAGGCGAAATATTAAATGGCACACAAATGTCTGATGGGATGCTATTCTGACATTTAATTTCTAAAAGGTCAGAGGTCAGCCTCAGTGTGAGATCATAACCTCTAATCTTTCAGTTTCGTGATTCAGGGACAGAAAGGGAGACTGCAACTGCATTTCAGATTTGGTCAGATATTCAGACGTGGACGTAAAGTTTGGTGCCAAAAGTGTCAAATTCCTTTGAATATGTTACTGTTTATATGTGCTTGGACAGACCTGAATTTAAACTGAAACTTGACTTGTTGAAAGAGACATACAACCACAACACACTTATATTTTTTGTTTTTGCATTTTTACATCTACCAGGCAGCAACCTCCTGGGCTCAGAACGAATGACAGTGCAGAAATGCAGTTCCTTTAATGGCCACTTGAGGCGCTTTCTAAAAGTGACCCAATTTCCATAAACCTCCATGTTAAAATACCCAGCTTACAGCATTAACAACCATCCTGGTATAACGAAGGGCACTGGTCTTTATGGAGACTTTCCACATAAATAACATCTGTACTGTTAAGTTTTTTCCTAACGCATCCGTTTGCATTATGAAAGTTATGACAGCTCATATTAATGAGTGTACTAGCATGGGCAGCTTTAGCTAACAGCTTTCTTGTGTTCGCTGTTCGTGTCATTTTAAAGAAGTTTTAATGGAATTGTCTGATAAATAATATTGCCTTCTGTAAGGTAAGGACCGTGCAAGGTTTTGGTAAGAAAAATAATAGCATTTTAATTGTTCATATCTGCAGTTTGCTAACCAAGTGAGCTAGCTTTAGCAGCTCATGTTGAATTTGAGAAATGTTTATCTTGGGACACGCCCACTGTGCGTCACAAGGGTTTTTTTCAACCGTTTTTTTCACTTGAAGTGACCGAATGTCATTGACTTTCTGTGGTCTCAGGTTTCCAGTTAGCTGCTAGTCACATCCTGTGTGGACACACTCAGCTTTAAGCTGAGACTTTAACAGGCAGTCTAAAATCAGTGATCTGTGATTATTTCTTAAATCTGGAAAAGGTGGATGTTTCACCCATTTATCCATCGTAGTAAGATAGCTGTTTCTATTTATTGTTATTTCATAAATGTATAGATTTGTATCTATATAGAACAGTTTATGCGTCACATTAACACAAACCTTTATTATTGCAATTATCAACCATTTGCTTACTCTTACTCTTATCACTTTTCCCTCCATTCATTTGCTTCCGCTTATCCGCTTCAGGGTCACAGGGAGGCTGGGGCCTACTCCAGCTGTTAAAGGGAGAGAGGTAGGGTACACCTGGAGAGGTCGCAAATCTGTCACAGGGCCAAAACAAAGACATAGACAACCATTCGCACTCACTTTCACAGCTACGGCCTATTTTGAATCACCAGTTAACCTACCCCCATGCTTTCTTTTTTTTTTGGATTATGAGTGGAAGTACCTGGAGACAACCCAGAACATCCAAACTCCCAGGGCCCCAGCCAGATGGTGGATTCAAACCCAGGACCTTAGCTTGCTGTGAGGGGACAGCAAGCTAACCCCCGCTCTCAGTTTTCCATGTGTTAGTTAAAACAGAGTTAATTAACCAAACTTTCCCACGAGCATGCCTGGAAAAGTATATGTTTACACCTTGGTGGTTGAGGCTGTGCTGTATAACAAAAACAAAACCCAGCACAAGAATTACACAAGAGTACAGTCATATTTGTATATTTCAAAACAAGCACAGCCACACCTTTGATTATTTAATCTGTGACTTTCTCATCCACAGAATACCTCTCAGTGTATTTCCGACCTGTGCCAGAGCAGGGGGAAGGGGCTGGATCAAGCTTTCAACAGGTTTTCCCTTTGGGTATGAATAGTGACAGCACCACCCTGTAATACTATGTACTTGCCTTTTAAAAACTCATCGTCCGTGTTGTTTAGGCTTAAAGCGGAAAGAGCTTTTAAACCTGTCACAGAAAGAAGAATGTTTACCGTTGACAGCCGTTTGCTATATTCTTGACATGACTGGGAAAGTTAACTGAAATCACTACTTTTAGGTTCTCCATGCCTGATTGTAATTACCTCATCTCAGGTAATTTGCTGGTATTCAGAACAACTACTTTAACTCTATGCCTTTTTGTGAGTATCCATGGGAATATGGCTAAACAGAGGAAAACAACAATTCCTGGCAGCGTCTTGCCTCCACTTTGCCACCTCCCTTATAAATTCTGTCCTCTGTGCAGCTGCCTGTTTCTGATGCTCTGCTCTTGCTTGGGTTTAGGTTTTATTCAGCACTGGGGTTTGAGGTTGACCACACTTCCAGTGACATTTTGGCACAGAACAACAGCACAGGGTCCAGAGCGGTGAGTGTTTACGGGAACACTCGTGAGGTGGCACCGTGCCATCCTGCCAAATGTTAGTCAAAAGCACTAATGTTTGCTAAGCAGTGGGAGAGACAAACGTGTGAACGTTGCGACAGATGTCTAATATGTGATTTTGTTTCTGCTCAGAACAATCTCTATTAATCACCGCCCTCAATTCTAAACAGAAGAGCTGTGAAATTTGGGTCGATTTAGCTCTAAGCGATGACGTGGTGATTAGTTGAAGGGATCAGGTTGTATCTTTTGCAAAAACAATAAAAATCTTTTTAAAAAAACGTGTCCGACATCTTAGTCACATCTTGATTAGTCACATCTCTGTTTAGTCTGTTTAGATTGTGAGTTCTTCTGTGTACTCTAGTATAGAAATTCCTTCAAGTTCTGCTTTTTTTTGTACAGTAGTTCTACTAATACCCCCAAACCAGCTCTACGATTTAGTGTTCATATTTTTTTATGCATATTTTTGGGCAAACTTTCAAAGAGTCCCACGGCAGGACGAGCTGCTTGGCAACAGTCTCGGTTTAAACAGTCAGGATCACATGGATGACTGCCAAAACCAACTGAGTGTTACCTGCTCGAGCTCCTGGGTGAGTTTGGGAAAGGCAAAGCCTGAGGGTGGGAGGAAGCTGTTTACGGTAAGAATAAGAAAAGTGTATGTGTCTTAAGTATGTGTGCGTGTGTGTGTGTATGTGTGAGTGTGTGAACAAGCACGTACATCACTCGGGGTGGAGTATGAGTGTGTGGTGTTTTTTTAACCACAATGTGAACATCTGCAAGAAGGGAGGCTATAACAAAGACTAAGGTGTTCGCAGTGAAAATCTTCAGATTTGTGA